TTGTAGGCCCTCAAGGCCTACTCTAGGCCTTTCTCTCTTTTGCAACTAACCGCATTCGTCAGATTGGATTTCCTAGACTTGTCCGACAGAGGTTTTTACCCGGCCTAAACGGTACGGTTTTTCCTTTGTACATAGCTGGAGCAGGTCCGAGGAGCCTGTTAGATAGGCATAGCGGGGTAGGAATAATAATAATATACAAACTCTGTTATGTTCACATTATCTTAAGCATGGTAATTACCTTGCGTAAGGCCCTAGGCACTGCACTGGAATTGCGCAAGGCTCTGGGCACTGCATCCTATTGAGTGGGAAGGAGGAACTAGGGAACAACCTGTATTTATTGGAGGCCACTGCGGGCACTGGGCTTGGCTTCTTGATCCTCCTTCAACCCTCTAACCTTTACAGTCAATACAATCATTCTTTGGCTACGCTTTTCATAGTGATTCCATCTAGGTAGCGTGGTTCCAACATCGCCATAGCTCATTTGAAAGATCAAGCTTGAACTTCAATTCTTCTCACCATTTTCGGGTTGTTTTATCCACCGTTGTCGCGTGCCGATTGCGATGTTTTTTCCACTTATTACCGCACCGGCCATATAACGCTCTTTTTTCGGTTTTTCGATTGATTCAGCAATCTTCATACGCCATACCATAGGAAGGGCCTCCCCTAGGGCATTAATCGGCTAAGAATACACATCTCCCCCTAAGGTTTTCGCGGAGGGTAAACATCTTCAAGTATCATCGCTACGCAAGTTTTGGCGACCTCGACACGATCTCAAGAGACCTTTTTCGGTGGTCTGAAGCCTCTACGAATGGGCAAGAAAAGTGGTGGTTTCGGCTTGGAGTTTGTGCTTCGGGGTCGAAGTACTTTTTGGGTCCCCGGCAGTGTTATTGAGTAGGAAGGAGGAACCCTGGCAAAACCTGTATTTATTGGGGCACTGGGGCTTGGCTTATCTTCCCTCCTACAACCCTCCAACAACCCTCAAATTCGCTACAATGAATACCA